CATATGTAGTCCCATGATTAACCCAAGGGAGTGCCTTGGGACCTGAGAGCCTACCAAAGAATGTTTCTCGGGGTATTAGAGCTTACCCAAGGGTTACCTTAGGTCTGTAAAGATGTACCAGCTTGATCAGAGTTAAACCTTCAGCCTACCCATATAATGTCCCAATAAAAAATTTCAAGTAGTAACTAGTGAAAACATAAAACCATAATTCATAAACCAGTAAATTTCATGATTCCATAAATAAGGAACAATCAAAATTTTTAATGAAAATTGTAATCATAGAACACATACCATGTAGGCATGGTTCAGAAGATAGTAAATCAATAATTTTTGTAAAATGTATTTCAAAACTTTTAAGACAGTCATGTAGTACATGGGAACACACTAGAGGATCCAATTATTTTTCAGAGGCACTTAATAGTTACCAGGAAGGGAAAACATGAAACTTAGGCAATTTGATCGGATATCAGGAACGAGATCCTATTGAAAGGGATTGATTACTAACGGATCTATAAGACATTTAAAGTTTATACTTTATGACTCCTTTATGGTTCAGGTGCCTTAGGAAGGTGTTTAGGAACCTATACATCATAATAATTCTATATTCAAATTTACTAAGAGTGATTCCATTACTCAAACAATCAGTGGTATTCAAGATTATTTATTGAATTATCAGGATATTGAATCCAATTGAACCTATGATCCCAACTCTGCTATACTTGTAATTCATTCGGATTGCGATTCTTCACTATTATTATTCATTTCTTATTACTGACTGCACCAATTGATCTGATCAATATCAATATCATTCTTGATCAGTTCTTAAGGAGACGAACAAGTATTATAGTTGTATTTATTTCTTTTCTGTATTTTAACAATATCAATAAATGTTAATTTGCTTGATTCGGGGTTTAAAACCCTTAAGGACAGTACAACATATAAGTTCATCAACATTTCTAGAATTTTCTGAGTCATTCACTTAATTATATGTCTTTGAAGGTACTTAGGTAATTTAGTAGTTAATCCTATCCCAATTACTTCGGTGTTTCTATAGTAATTCCATCATTTCTTAAATTTGGGTACATACAATACTTCTATTCAGTTCTACTTGGTCATATAATTTAGTCATTTAGAGAAATTTAAACATGTAAAGTAGCTTCGATAATTCAGTCTCTGGTGTTATCTTAGAAAATTGAAATTTTAGGTCATTTGGTATTCGAGGTTGATTTAGTCATTTCAAAGCTGGAGGGTATTTAGTCATTCCTATGCTTAAACATTATTTGGCTCATTTTACACTTTTGGGCATTCTAATAAATATATGGAATTTTAAACCGATGATTCCAAGGTTCTAGTGGATCAAGACATAAATTCTTAAATCGTCTCTTTATCAAAGCCATTCATAGTCTTTTTCACATTTTAAGTGCATTATCGTCATTTCATTCAATTCTGTAAGTGGCATTACTCCCAATAAATTAGGCTTCAAAATATATTTGTTTCTTAATAATTCAGGTTATTTGTTTCTTTTATCAGTGGTGATTATTACAGTTATTATGAAGCTCGAGGACATTTAAGTAATTCTTTTCAATTCAATCATATGCATTATTTCTGATAATTGGTCAAGTATGTCCTTTCTGAGTTATTTTACACCCTCCGGGGAAGTCTTGGTCTTCTACAATACAAGGACATTGTCGTAATTTTACCTTATATGGTTATTTTTGGTAATTTCTTATCCAAATAATATCGTTATTAATCTTTAATTATATTAATCATAATTTACGTGTCCTAAGATTTATTTATTTACTGATTAAATCACTCAACTTAGATTTAATTCCGATCGGTCTACGAATTTCTCATTTTCGAGCCGTCTGAGTCTTACATAATGTTTTATCTTTAATCCAATTTACGTTTGAGTCTGATGATAGTTAAATATGTACCAATCATTTCCATTTACGCATTTACCATCTATCCATGAGTTTCAAAAAGCATACAAAAGGTAATAGAGTATTACCTCAGTTTTTATGCCATCAATCGACCATTTAAACTCCATTCAATCGCTCTCGAACTTTAAATCAATGTCCAAGAATTCCTCGGATACACAGCAACCAAATTTACATAAGAAGATGTACTTAATCGAAAAATCAAATTTGATTCAAAAGATAAATCAGTGAAAAAAATCTTATCAGGAGCAAATTTAGCAAAATAGACTTTAGATTCTGACTCCGGATGTCGAAAAACATAAAATATGACCTTTCTGAAAAGTTGACTTGATACATGCATGATCATGACCAACATTCTCAATAAGTTGATTATTCCATGGACGTTCTTCATTGCTGTTTCTAAGGGAGTTCTTCCTTACCCTATCTTATATTATATCATTTATACATTCTATTCTATCATAAGCATGCATTCACATGTTTGTATAAATTATCATATTATTATTTCCATCCTATACTTAGTTGATCATGTCTTTCATTTCATTCAAATATATGCTATGATTAAAAATCATTTATTAGAATATTATTATTACATGTTTCCACTTATCATTTATTATGAATACCATGTTATATGATATTCATGCATACAACATATATCCACATGTTTATATTATTTGGTGCACAATGTTATTTCAAAGCATGATAAGTATGTTATATTAGCTTTGCATTCATTTAAGTATGTTTAAATTCATTCATGAAATGACAACATGCTTAATCATTCAATTCTTAGCTTATTTACATTCAATTCAGCTCCTAAGTGTTATACCTTAGCTTACATATGTAACATCATTATACTTAGCTCATGACATGCAATCATAGCTCACAAGATCAAATCATGCACGACAACAAGGTAAGTAGCTCATACAAGCTCAATGCCATTGAATTACCTTGTTTTCTTTGCACATGTAGGTATATTAGAGGATGGTACACGTTAAGACAGCTTGGTGGAGTATTTGGAAGCCATATGCAGCTCACAATCAGCTCAAAAACATCATGACAGCTCGTAGAACATAATAGAAAGCTCAACTCAGCTGGAGGAGCTCAAGGCTAGCTAATCTTAGCTAGTTGGACTATTTGAAGATAAGTTGCTAAAAGTGACATAAATTGTAGCTGAACATAGTTGAATGTACTGCTATGAAGGTTGGAAGGTCACGACCAAGGAGATCATTCACCACCAGCCTTTACATTGCTAGCTAGCTAGCACATGCAAGCTTGAAGATAACTGAACTCATGCCCAAGGATGCTGCCCATCAATGGTCTTCATCCTATGCATAAGGTTGCACCACAAGCATCCTAGAGAGCCAAGTGCACGTCTTGTGATCAGCTAAGCCATGTGCTATGCGTATGACTCCATTTAGGCACCAAGATGGATGTCAACCTAACCATTTGGTCAAACATCATTTCTCATCCAAATTGGCGCCAACTTGAAGGTATTCAAGTGTTATTCGGCGATGAGACATGCCCTATATTCCAGCTGAACCAAAACCTATATTTTTCTTGTTATTTATTAATTAATTATGTCATTATAGAGGGACTCAAGGGCTGGCCGAACCACCATATACCCATTCGGCCAAGTCCCTTCAAAAACTATAAATAGGCTAGTCCTATTTTCTTTGTACACACGCCTTTATTATAAATTAAAGTGAGATTATTCTCTTTTCTTAAGTCCTTGGGACATTTATTGACTTATCAAGTAATTTATTTACTTTTGGTATCAACCGCTTCTTGCTTTGATACTTATGGTTCCTATCTCCCTATAGATAGTGGGTCCAAGTACTTGTTACCACCCCTTAGAAAAGAATTGTAAGGTTGGGTCTTTGCTCTTTATAGCACTGGTTCTTCCTTGGTCATTTCTAAGATACTATCATCACCAGCCTTCCATTGTTTCATCACCCATACCATAGCCATAACAACATACTTCCGCTACGATTTCTCATAACATAAATAGCCTACCATTTACCCTTTCATCTACCACCCAACCATCTATTTGAGCCATTCACTTATGCAGGTTATTTTGCTTCCTTCCTAGATCCACAATCAATTAAAGGTAGAAATACTTTACATCAAGCGATATTTAGAGCTTTGGTAGAAGAAGCAACAACAACAACAAAAATACAAAAAGAAGTGCAAGTGAAAGAAATCAAAAATCAGCAAAAAAATTGAAAGCACTCAAAAGAAGAAGAAAAAAAGAAGAAAAAAAGAAAAGAAAGAAAAAGTTGAAAAACACACAACAACAAGTCCCATCACCAAGCCATTCAAGTAAGCCTTTAAAATTGATTGTGGTGATAGAAGGGTTGTGCACTACTAGAAAAACCCCTTTAATGAAGCGCAACGCGCGTCATCTATGGGTACAGATGACACACAAATTCGCGTCATTGAAGCCACCGACATAAATATCAGATGACGCGTAATTATGCATCATAAATCTATGACGCACATTGCGCGTCATTGAAGCTCCCGTCATAAATGAAAATTACACACATTTGTGTGTCATAAATTTATGACACGCATGTATGACTTACATTGCGTGTCATTGAAGCCCCCGTCATAAATGAAGATGACACACATTCGTGTGTCGTGATTGTATTTCGTAAATTTTATATATATATATGTGTGTGTGTGTATTGTAGATTGACAAATAATCAAACTAAATCACATTTAATGCCTCATAATACTAAATATATATATCATATTATATATAAGCAATCCATTTGCATACAATATATTCACATTAAGTTATCAAAAATATTGTAATCATATGTCGATACAATGAACAGATAAAACAAATTAAAAAACAAAAACCTGATTCAGCCATTAATCACATATTAACTTTATAATCCTAGTACAATAAACTTGAACATCTAAAAACTAACAAAAGTAAAATTTATTCATTCAAAAGCTGAAGGAATATAATGAATTGTTACATGACCTTTTGCAGCAAAAAGTACCATAGTCTCATCTACATCCCCCTCTTTGCTCTCTTCTTTTGTCTTTTCAGAATCAGAAAGCACACCTCCAGCTTTCTCCAAGCGTTCTTCTAGGGAATCTTCAAGAAACTATGATAAATATAAGAAGCTCAAAGTTAAAAAAATATTAGAAATATGTGAACAAGTATGCAAATGTGTATTTAAGTGGAGTACAAATAGGATTCAGTATAGAGTTGATGGCAGCAGGAACCCTTTTACTTTCACTAATGGAAGAAGAATTATATATGTTAAATCCATATATAATTATAAGACCAGTTCACCAACTCACTCCCCAATGTATTTCTTTCTGATTTATCTGATTAGCTGCATCCTGGTAGCTTCCAATAAGTGTTACAACCTCTGCATCATCAGAAATGGAACTGGGTTGTCCAGAAGAAACTGCAAGGAAAAAAAGAAAACAATAGTCAAACAACACCTCTTTTGCATACGTAACATGCAGAATATGAACAATGAAAATGGCATCACCTTGAAAGTTAATGTGTTTATTGATGACCCCAAGCATTCCAGTATATTATGTTTTATGCAAATATTTCAACAGAATATCTTAGGAATACTGTCAAAGTGTTTCACAACAAATTTTGCAGTAAATGAGGAAACAAATAGATTCTTTTCTTATCTATTAGCAGTTACCAAAGAAACAATTTACGACTTTTACATGACATATCTTGATGTTAACATTAGACAAGTACGATGACTAAATATATTGTGTTTTACTAAAATTAAAATTAAGCACTTACATCATATAACAAGTAATCGCAGAACCCAGAATATTTCATCTCCTGATTAAGTGAATGGTCTGTTAATGCCCTTATTTTACTCTACCTAAGAGAACGAGCAAATTCCATCTCCTGATAGAAAAAACATCTAGGTAGCAACAATATATAAGAGAAAAATGATTCAAACCTCCAACACATAATTATATGCTATTGCACCCATTGAAGCCGAAGTGATACCTTCACAGTTGTCAAACTTAAGAATCGTTAACATTGGTAGTCTTACAAACTTCACAGAAAGAAAATGCATCAAAATATGGCTTAACTAGAAAATGACACTAATTAGAACTAAATTAACCATTTGCAAAACTGACCTCAAGAAATATGTTAGGGCAATATGAAAAATTCAGAACATGGAGAACAGAACAGGAGCGAGCTATTTCTTGCAATGTTTCATCACTAACACACAAACAATTTGACATGTCTAAAGAATCTAATTGATGGCAAGAAGTCACTGCATAATGAATTGACGCATCTGTAAGTTTATGGTATGCACTTATATCAAGCAGCTGTAAAAGGGGGCAATTAAGGGCTGTCTATGCCATATTACTACGATTCAAGGACAAACTCTTTAATAGTGGGCACTACAAAAGATCAGATAGTAGCATAACGGAAGAACAGATTGACATCAAAATATAGTTTACAATCAAATCTAGATTTTGCTTCACCTGATGGATATACGCATCACATGATATTTAGTTACTTTCAGATCAAATAACCTATCATGGTTAATAGGTATCTCTTGACCACCATCACCGAGAATAGCATCATTCACATCCAAACTCCTTAACATACCACACTCAGTCAATGCATGGAAAAAAGCATCCCCTAGTAGCCCTTTTCCTAATGTTAAAGCCTTAAGATTTATACCAATCATAATTTTTTATATACATTAATAAGAGGTTGTGCAAAATTCATTTTATTAGAACATAAAATATGTCAAAAAAATATTATCGTAATGAAAGGACAAATTTCATAACAAGAAGATGCATGCTAGGAATACCACTCAGGTTCACTTCAGTGGCATTTGGATATCTTTGACAAATGACATCAACTTCAAGATCAAAATGCAATGTTATTGCAGTACGGCATCCAATTTCATTACATTAATGTACCATTTTCTCATGCAAAATAATATTATAATTGAATACCCATATCGTTTTCTTATCTAAAAAATAGTTTCAACTCCAAGAAATTTCTAAACTCTGTTTGGAGCACACTGTTTAAAATAAATGAGAACTAAGTAAAGATATTGAGCAAATCTGAGACTCATATTGTTCATGAGATATATTCTTGTTTTCCAAGTTCAAGCACCTCCAAAAATCCTCATGACCACTAGTTGATCGCCATTGCCTACAAATCATGGCATTACAAAGATTACGATAATCCAAGAAGGAGAACACACAAATAAATGGACGAGCCCTTTGTTCCTGTTCGTTCATTTAATTAAACGAACACGCAATTCTGTTAATGTTTATTCGTTTAATAAATAAACGAACATAAATGAACTTCTCGCTAAACAATTTACGAATGATTTATTAAACGTTTGTTTAGTTTACAGTCTTAGCTAGTATCATTACATTAAATCATAATATTATCAATTTAAACAAACATTTATAATTATTAAAATTTTCAAAACAATTTCAAACAATAATATCCAAATTTATTTTATTTTCGAATTCACATTTCAACTACAATTCCAAGGGTCAATATTGCTCACACTACAAATGGCTACATAATCAAAATAAAGAGAAAGGGGAAAAAGTGAGACTTACCTGATAAAGCTTCTCTAGGTCACAAGGATCTGGTTGTTTCAGAAATGTAGCATTAATGGCAGACTTCAGTTTTGCCCATGTTTCGTCCTCAAAATTTGTAGGCAATGTCAATTTTGCTACAGAGAACCAGGAGAAGTTAAAATTGTATCAGAAACCCTTATGAGTATATTTTCAAAGTATTATCATTGTTAGAAAATGCAATGTTGTTCTAGTTTCTTATAATTAGTTCATATAAACAATATATAATCAGATTTGCATAGAAAACCAAAAATACTTCAAACCTGATTACAGTTCCTTGCAAGTAGACTTATTAATATGATATATCAATACATCCTAACAAAAATCCATATTTAGTTGTTTAGAAAGATGAAGTAACTTATTATACTTATGCAAGCACACATCAAATATGCTAACAAATAAATAGGTTTCAATTTACACAGCCTAAATGACACAATCCAATTTTAATTAATTAGTGTTAGCTCGGTATAACAGTAAAAGAAATAAACATAAATTTTCCTATCCTAAGATCTTAAGACCGAACAAAATCCCTATTTTCAAAAATTCACCTCATCTAATCCCCAAATTTTTCATTCTAAAAACAACCCAACAACCAAAGCCACTAAATTGCTAAGATAAAATTCTCTAATTAACTGAAAATAAGAAATTCTTATATAAAAAAAACACCCAGATAATAAATTATACAAGAAATGAGGTCAATTAAAAGGAAACACAAACCTTTAACGAGTTTGATGAAGAGCTTTTTGGCGAGTTGAGGTTGTATAGCCTTTTTTTGAGATAAATTAGCGGTGACGGGAGTACGAGCATTGTTAGACTTAGAATCATAGTCGAGGGTTATAGACGAATGGTCGAAAACCAAACAAGAAGAAGAAGAATAAGAGGGATGATTCGTCTGTTTAAAGTTGTAAATGCAACTAAACAGAAAACCAAAGAAAATAAATCGTACCGGCATTTGCGAACAAGAGAGTGGGATCATTGTGACGACGAGGCGGAGGGAGAGACGGTGGCGTTGTGGAAGAGACAGAGATCGTCGAGTTCATCGGAGGCAGAATTGGGCAACAGATGCTGGGATTCAAACTTGGGCCTAACAAGAAGAAGAGAATCAGGAGAGAAAAGGAGATAATGAAAGTAGTTGAAAACATTAGGCGTGAACTGATTATCGAGGGGGGAAGAAGTAGGAAAATGAAAATTATGGGGAAATTAAAATACGACTTTTAGAGATGACACATAATTAAAAAATGTACTCCGTGTTTTTGGAAATTTTTTGGATTATGACTATTAAATATGACACACATTATTGTAAGTCATAAATCGTTCATATTTTACGAAACATGTCATTTTTTATGACAGACATTTTTTGCAAGTCATAAATTAGCGTGTGTCATCATTCGTGTGTCATTAAAGGTATATTTTATTATATTGGTGAAGTGACTTTGTGTAAGTAACCCCTTTTCTTTCTATTTCTAAGCCACCCTTTCATTATATTTTGCTTTCCATTCCTATTAACCCTTTTACAACCGATGCACAAGTAAACTTTACTTGGTACAGTTTTGAGTAAAGTAAATTAGAACTATAGATAAAGAGATTGAGAGGAAAAAGGCTTGAGAATGGGAGACTAGAAGAGGACTAGTAAAAGCCTTGAAGTCTTAGAGTGAAATCACGAGTGGATTGAGTGAAATTCAAGTTTCCTTGGAGTGAACTCGTGAGGCTTTGTGAGAGCATTATTTGGTAAGGTCCTATACACATTTCCTTTTCTTATTTTGCTAACATGTCTCTTCCATCCAACATATTTGTAGTTAAAAGGACTTTGAACATTCAAAGTTAAGAAGATGAACAAAGAGTGAATATCTTCCATACAAAATGTCATGTGGGAGATAAAAATTGTGTAGTAAGCATTGATGAAGGTAGTTAAACAAATGTAGCAAGCACTCACATGGTGGAAAAGTTGGGCCTAAATACTTCCAAACATCCTCATCCTTACAAACTTCAGTGGCTTAATGATGTGGAGGAAGCCAAGGTAACCAAACACGTTATTGTTCCTTTCTCAATTAGAAGATACAAGGATGAAGTTCTTTATGATGTGGTACCCATGAGTGCAAGCCACATTATATTAGGACGACCTTGGTAATTTGACAAAAAGGCTACTCATGACGGATTTTCCAATGAGTATTCATTCCAACATCAAGAAAGGAAAATTATATTGGTGCCTATGCTTCCAAATCAAGTCCATGAATGCCAAGTGACCCTAAAGTCACGTATAGTGGAATGGGAGAAAACTAAAGCCATGAAGAAAGTTGAAAGAGAAGTCTTGCAAGAGCAACAAGTACAACAAGTGGAAAATCAGATTGATATGAGAAACATTAGAGTTGATGAGTGTAGAAAAGAAAGGCTAAATGGAGAACATGATTCACCTAACAACTTTTTCCTTCCAATTATTTCTTTTGTTTTACAGGACAATCTAAGAGACATATCACTTCAAATTGAAAATTCAAGAAACATGACTTTCGAGGAACCAACAGGTTTGACCTTTGGTGATCCACAAGACATGTCCTTTGACGTCCCAATAGTTATGCCACTTAAAGTTCAAAAAGATGTGTCACTTGAAGTGCCAAAAGTTGAGATCATTAAGGCTGCAAGTACATTACAACAATTGAAGATAATTCAACAACCAATGGAGTTTTCAATCATCGAGAAACCAACACCCGTTAAACATCCTCCATGGTTTGGTATTTCCATTCATTTTGTTTATTCATTTTCTAACTTTGGTTTATTTTGCAGCAAAATGATTCATATCTATGGAGTTATTTTCACTTGTGTTGAACAATTCGAAGAGATGAATCGAGCATTTTCCACCAACTCAAAAGTCATCATTTGGAAAGGTACAAAGTTTAAAGGAGTGATCCAAAAGGCAAGTCCTATTCTAATAGGACATCACGTTTCCAAAAAGGGATC